CAAGTTTTTATAAATTTTTATATATCAAAATTTCCTCGTATATATCAACTTTAATATGAATTTTCGTTAATATCACTATCAACATAATTTTGAACAGGTTCAAATGGGTTGATATTAACGAGGGTCACCTGTATTACTTGTTGCACTTGTAAGTCGTAAAATTTCAATCTTATTCTTTGGCATGATCCATTTTTGTTTAAATGAAGCTCTAATTATTTTTTGACAAAAATTCGGTTTTAAAAAATTGTATAGAATTTCTTTGGCAAGATCTAATTATTTTTTAACGAAAATTGGTTTTTAAAAAATTGTATAAAACTTCAATTCCTATTCTTTGGCAAGATTCATTTTCGTTCAAATAAAAGCATTTATTCATTTCTAAATATTTTTCATTTCTTGAAGATGAAAAATTCATTTTTAAATAATTAAACTAAATTTCAATCCCTATCCTATTCATTGGCAAGATACATTTTCTTTCAACTGAAAGCATTTATTTATTTCTAATTATTTTTCGTTTCTTGTCGGACAAAAAATATATAAACAAATATAAACATATAAAAGTTTTTACTTGGATTTCGTTTATCATAATTCTTTATGTATTTATGACAAATATCTTATACATCTTGGTTGCTTGGAATCTTAACCCAAGATTCATTTTTAAACCAGTCAATCATATTTAACTTTTTTAATAACGGTACCTGTTCGAGTAATATATTTGTCATTGAAAGTCTAATTTATATTCGATTCCTTCTTGTTAAGGTTTATTGGTTGACATATCCAGTTTTTCTTGCCGAATCAATAACTTAACTGGATCGGCTGAAAAATCAATCGGCAAATTTTTACAGGTGTCCCAGGAATTATGATAATAGCTGTAACTTCAAATCTGCCAGTATCTGTTCATCATTCGATAAGTTTCTCCGCGATTTCTTAATGCAAATACATTATTTGGCTTTATTCTTAATGATTCATTATAATTTATAAGTGATTCACAATATTTGTCAAAAATATAAAATATTATTTCACGGTTTTGATAATGCATTTGTATTATTAGGATCAAGTTCTAATAATTTATTTAGGTCTGCAAGCGATTCTTCATATTTGTTCATCATACGATAAGTTTCACCATGATGACTTATAGTGCTTTGCAAAAAGATGTGACCCCATTATTTTTGTGATGATGAATGAGGAAAATTTGATTCTAAATTGTCTATTAATTCATATTTTCGATATTTTCGATCAGTTATACAGAATCGATTTTCACACGTCATTGTGATCTGCAGAGGTAAAAGCGTAATAATATAAATGCATTATCGTTATTAGGATCAAGTTCCAATGATTTATTTAAATCGGCAAATGATTCTTCATATTTACCTAAAACACTTTGAAGCGAAAGAAATTTATGCATCAAATAAACTACTCAAAATAATCATATTCACAAAAATGCTTTGTTTGAAAGCGAAAGAAATTTAACAAAAAGTTTGCAAAATTATTTAAAATGGTTTAGAGTTCCAATCTATATATCAGATATATGGATCTGAATTTATTCGGATATCCATTTACTATTGCTATCCATTTATTTACTATTGATATCTGGATAATTATCCGAATACCTGTCAGATTATCTGGATATCTGAGCGATTTTGAATTATCCAGATAATTAGATACTCCGGATTGGAACTCAAAATCTAAATTCCAAAATATTTTGTCTTTAAAGCGAAAGAAATTGCTGCATCAAAATGAAGTTTACAAATTTATTTTCTTACGTAATAAATATAAGACACAACGTACATAATAGAAGTGTTAAAAGTCGATTATTTTTATATTGTTACTAAACCTTCATAAAAATTGCAAAATTATATAGTAGTTTTAGCCTTTTTTTTCACTAAATTCATCCAAATAAAATTACAAGCTAAAGTAACATCTTATTCAATTTCCGATACGCACGCTCGGATCTCACAAAAGTTCTAATAATCTTTTAATAGAACAGCCAATTAATTTAAATCATCATTCTTAGACAAATCTATACATAATTATTGTTTCCAGTTATTACAGCATTTTTGGATAATTGTGTTTGTGATATAACAGATATCTGGTAAATAATTCAAGTTATTGTAAATCATTGTTACATGAAAGACTTTAAACGTGTGTTCCACCAACTTGCTTGTATTATACGTATAATGAATAAATACATTTTTTAACGTTTTTCTTTATTAAAAAAAAAGAAATTTAGATAGTTAATGAGTTAGGAAAGAGATTTGAATTTATCATGAATCTACTTGAAGAGTTTACGGATAGGAATACTAATATTGTATGGACTAGGTGAGTATTTCTCAAAGTTTTGGGTAGAATTGTCGCGTATTGTAAGTTACGCTACCAGGTATTGAAAGCTCATCACGACAAATTGTACCATTAGCTGTTAGGTTACATAATTTATTATTAGTGAAAAAGTAGACGAGAAAAGCGATATTATTATGAAGATACAGTACAGTGTGCTTATTTAACAGTTTTAAAAATTTTAGATCTCTCCAAATGCATCCTTTTTAATTCATTACTTAATACAATACATATTTGAATTCCGATCCAAACATATACCTAACTTTCATAAATGTATATATTTTAAAAGTTTGAAATTTTCTAAACTTTATATATTTTTAATTATAAATATTAAGTTTCAATTAAATTATAAAAATTATAAAAAGAAAATCCTGATCAAAAGTACAGTGAGACCTCTCTAAATGCACATTCAAATTGTTTTCTAAATGTATGTTATTAAAGTTTGGTTCCTATAGAGTGCGCTTAGAGAGATTTGACTGTATATACAGATGATTTTGGTAAGTGCTAAAGATTTACGTCACTGGGTTACGTCCTATTGTAATAACATGCTAACACGTCCTTCTATGCCTACAGTAAATTATCCCAATCACATAATAGCTAAAACTCTTACGATTGGCCAATTCTTATTATAATCTTTATCCAATCAGGAAGGAGATCTAACTGACAATTGATTTACATATTAATATGGGTGAAATCGGACCAAATTACAACTACGTAATCAATTACATATCTATCACTACCGTATCAGTACTATTAAATAATTTTTATTTATAAAAAAAAAAATCGTTTGATTTTTTTTTATTATCCATAAAAGGATTTTTCTATTTCTACTAAGGGGAGTGCAGTTAATCACGTAATATTTTTTTATTATAGAGCCTTACCCCCCCCTCCTATGTGATAGTATAAATTTCTCAAAATATTAGACCTCTATATACTATACATAGGTTACAATGAGATAAATTTAGTAAAATGTAAAAAGACCCGGGGTATGCAAATAAAAAACAAAAAAAAACTATTATTAAACCCATGCTATATAAAAGACCCAGCAGGTCTATTATAAATTTTTAAATTTGGTAAAATGTACTAGACCCAGGTTTTGTATCCAGAAGTTTGCAATAATAAGAATTATCAGACCCATGCTATACAAGAGACCCGGTCTATTATAAGTCTAAAATTGGTGAAATGTACTAGATTCGGGTCTTGTTATTTCTAAAACAAATTGTACTCTGCATCTGTCCGTCGGATACTTGATGCATATGCCATATTGGATTGATATCGATATCCATTATTTCTATTAACTCATCACATCTTTCGTGATATTTATCACTATTCATGTTTAATAAAATAAAAATCCGCAATTTAAATGAATATTATCATTATATGACTAAAAGTGAATTTTAATTATAATTCCTTTTATAAAATTATCAATTATATCGTTCAATATCGATAAATGCTACGTATCAAAAATAATACAAGTCCATAAAATTTAGAATTGCGCAAATCATAATTTAAATATTAGCACTAACATAAAACAAAAACGGGTACATATTACTTCGTAGAAGTTTATTTCACAGACAATCAATCCATAGACAAGTTTATTTTAAAGAAAATTAATTTACAGACAGTTCATTTCATAGACATTTCATTTTGTAGACAATCTTTACACTAATTCGGAAATTATTTGCTGTTAAAGATTGTCTACAAAATGAAATGTCTATGGAATGAACTGTCTGTAAATTAATTGTCTTTAAAATAAACTTGTCTATGAATTGATTTTCTGTGAAACAAGGCGTTTGTGAGATAAACTTCTACGAAGTGATACCCAACAAAATGCCATATAAACGATAATGGGTTTTGATAAACCCGATTTACCATGAACCGTTTAATAAAATGCGAATGACGCCAAGTGAAAACTTGATCTATTTTACAAGTGTGAGTATAGATTGATAAAAATAAATCTACATAACGCCAAGAAAAACTTAAAATCTATATACACTCAACAAGTTATTGTTATGACTAGATGTTAAAAGATAACGCCAGAAATTGAACTCCATAAAAATTTACCAAATAATATCATTGTAACTTACTTGCATTGCCAAATATCCTTTTTTACAATAACGATAATCTTGAATCATGAATGTAAATTAAGCAATTTCCATATATATCTATAAATTAAAAAACAAGAATATACCTAATATATTAAAGTTTATGTTCTTCCGATTCTCATTATACACGTACAGTACATGTGGGAGAAAATTCAATTTTTTTTTTTTTTTTTGCTTGAATCTTAATTCCAGGATTCGTAAATAGGACCAAAAATAGTCATATTAACTGATTAAAGAGTCTTCAATCCGGTCGTAGCTATCGAGCGCTCAAAATACTAATTATCAAATTACACCAATATTTGTCATACTTACTCAGCATTGGACCAACAGAATTATCTCATTTATCAGTTATAGATATGTGCCAAATTCAAAAAGAAATTTTAAGATTATCTTATTTCTTTTAGGATTTGGCACATATTTATATTCACATAGTCACCAAGTTAGGCCATTCAGTAAGCAAAGATATTTAAATAGAAAGCACCAAACCGATTTGTAACTAATTTCTTATTTATTTCTCCCATAGTATAGTATATAACAGAAAATTCATATTAGTAACAATTCGAAATGACACAAAGCTTTCTTTCAATGCCAAATTTTTCAAAAACTTACTTGTATGTTATCCCTAAAAATTTATACCAAGAATTTTGTAACGCTTTTGCGTTTTTTACAATGGTTAAGGCCTGTAATCCAAGTATGAATCGGCAAGATTTAATGGATACAGCAAATACAGAATGGCGACTATGTCGAACTGAATCAGAAACAACTATTAGAGACCAAATCAAACAATATCTTGCAGCAAGTCCGCCTATTATACGAACGGCAAACTTTTTTCTACCACCTGGTTCATATAGTTCTAAATCATCAAATTCTTTAAATACAAACTCAAATTCTGCAATTTCTTCATTGCCTTCGGCTAATGAAGAACATATTCTTGCTCCTAATGCGTCATCTCAACGTCAAGCTTTAACCCTAATTAAAGAAACTGGAACTAAAGTAAATGAATACGAAAATCTATTGCTAAATACTAATGACATAGATCTTAGGCGTCAGATATATGAGAAGTTAAGGGATAATCGTGCTATTATTGAAAAGGAAAAAAAACGTCTCAGTTTATTAAAAAGCCATGCTAAGTCTCAAGCAAAACTTAGAGAAAAAAAAAGAAAACAACTTAACGAAGGTATTGCAGTAATATATGATACTAGTGGACGCCCATCCGAATTTCAAAAAAATCCCAAATTGCTTGATCAAATACATGATTGTGTTGAATTTGGTGCAGCAGAAAAAAAAAGAAGAAAGACTGTGATTAAAGTTCGCACAATCAGACACTTAAAGGAAGCATTACAAGAAAAGTATAATGTTTACCTCACACGACAAACTCTTTCAACATATCTTTTACCCCGACATCCCAATTCACGTCAAGCAAAGCGCCACCATTATCCTGCACAAATTAAAGTAAGCGCTGTTTCTCGTTCTGAAATGAAGTTTCATGTGGATGAACACTACTGTCTCGCGTCGGTTAAAATGGTTAGAGAGTTTGCTGTAACTTTTGCTAACCATAGCCTTATCATCTCGCAAGATGATAAGGCTAAGGTTGGCTTAGGTGTGCCAGCAGTCGGTAGAACTTTTAAAAGCATCCAATCACTTAGTGAACCTATTACTGTCTCTGATCATGATTTTCCATGTGGAGCTAAACAAAAACTTATACCTTCAGTTTATCTTATTATCAACCCTGAAAACACAAATGAAACATTACGTCAAGGTCAATTATCCATTTATGTTCGACCAGAGTATTTTGTAGGAACTTCATCTTTATCTCATATGAGAGATTTAATTGAGATTTCAAAATGTGATGATTTTGCGCCGATGTTGAAATATAGTGACCATCTTAAGTCTATTTGGTTCTTGTTAGTTGACGGGGGGCCAGACGAAAACCCAAAACATTTAAAAAATATTGTTGAATATTGTCGTCTTTTTCGTGAGCTTGATCTTGATTATCTTTCTGTTAGAACGCATGCTCCTTATCAGTCAGCTTACAATCCAGTAGAACGCAGTATGTGTACACTTTCTGAAAAGCTAGCTGGAATTGAGCTTCCAATTAATAAGTTTGGTTAGTGTTAATAATACAGTTAGTTCTCTTTATAATGAACAGACGGTTCTTCTGGTAAAAAGCTTTGAATTCCTTAGAGTAATTTATAATGTTGCTCTATAATAAATTTTAAAAAAAGTTTGTTATCGAGTGGTTTCATTATAAAAAAGTTCATAATAAAGAGAGTTGACATATATAAGTTTAATATAATAATGTACAACCTTTTTTTTTCTTCCTCTTATGCTTTAATTCTAGGATCTCATCTTAACAGCCAAGGTGTAGTTGTAGATGAAGACTTGGCAAAGCGCAACTTTGAATTTTCTGGTCAAAGTTTGTGTGAAATTTGGAAGCGTGATAATATTCATGGAAGACAAGTGCATGCCAATTACATTGATTATGATGAAGATCCTTTTCATAATAAAGGAAAAGAGCCTACCACGTGGTTGTGGATAGAACGTCATGCTCAGCTATGCCGCTACTCTCTGGATGTGCGAAAATGCCCCGATCGAAATTGCTGTAGTGATGTTTATGCCAAAGAAGCAATTGATCTATTGAAGGAAAATGGTGGGTTTCTCCCACCATTAACAAAAGGAAAAGATAACCGCTTTTTAAATCCAATCCACGTTTTGCAATATATAGACAAGACAAAATTGTCTAAATATGATGAAGAGTGTCCTTCACTATCATCACAAGCACATCAAAGACTTTGCTGCAATATATGCAGTAAATATTTTCCTACCGCGAAGATGATTACAAAACACAAACAAGTAATTCATGCAAAAAAACCACTCCAAAAAAATGAAAATCAAACCTCTATATCTGATCTTGAACTTCCTATTGTGCTAATTGAACATGTTGAACTGCCTTACTTATCTACAGAAGAGGTTATCGAATCTTTAGAATATCTTGACAATGACAACCATCAAATTCAATTAAGTAATTCAACTTTTATGGAAGATTTTTCCAACCTACCCTCTATTCGTTCGTCATGCCAGTCATCTGAAGTTTTTGATTTACGAGAGGTGCTTTCCGACGTTGAATAAAAAACTATTACTCATTAGAGTAAGAAACAGGATAGTACTTTTTTTTTTTGTTTTATTTTTATTAGTATTCATTGATTTTCAAATTATTATGTATTATTGTATTATCGAAGCAGTCAACTCTTTTATAACGAACTAATGATCTAGAAAAAAAAAAATAAGCTTATATAAAAATTACTACTTTTTCTTAAAAACCATAGCTCTTTTATGTTGAACTCAAGAAATTTAAGAACTTGAGTTCGTTATATCGATATTATATTCAGAGTTGACTGCATAATCAATTAAAAAAATTAAGCTTAGGCTTTAAGACGAATGCTATCAATTCACTTTAAAAATAAAAGTTAAAAGCCGTAATACTTTTTGCTTCAAAGATCTATTAAATTTATAATGACTTTTTTTCTTTAATAAAGAAAATTTACCGTAATAGTAATAGGTCAAAGAAAGATCTTGGCACAGTATACTCCTCTAGTATGTACACGTACGTACTGTAATACAGTAGTAATAGGTTACGTACTATGTACGTACGTACGTACGAACGTACATATCTGATATAAAAATCTGTATATCTAATATATATTATATATATATATATATATAACGTGATATATTGCTAACCCCCCTCCCCCCCTAAAAAAATTACGTGATTTTCTGCACTTCCCTAATCATGGTATTATATAAAGCATGTTGTTAATAAAAAACCTTGTTAATACCATTTTTCAATAGCATTGTGTGGGTTTGTTAATTGTGAATGGGGTCTATATATATTTGTTTGGTTAGTAAGAA